CTAAGTAGTTTCGCTTTCACAACGAAACACACAGTGCCTTCACGACATGGTGGCGGCGGCAACAACAATACTACAGCGTGAATAAAAGTTATGCCTTCTTTCTTTGTGTGAACATTTGGGCGGTGTTATGCAAATCTTCCCACATCGTGACGTAGACATGTGGGGGCGTGTTAGAACGAGCCGTTTTAGGTAGGCGTGGTTGACTCTTAACTTTTATAAAGAATATCTCTTTGGATTTGAGACTTTAGTCTTTGCAACTTTACAGATCTTCTTTATGCACCAAGAGCTTGTAAAACTTCAAAGAGAAAGGAAAAATTGAAATCGCATCATATGACCCCTTTAACTGAATGCTGTACCTCTTGACACTGAGCTTAATGAGAGAGTAGAGAGAGAAAGAATAATAGTAATGAGCTCAAAACAAGAATATTAGCTAAAGAACAGAGAAAAACAAGTATGAAAATGTCAAGAGAGAGAGAGAGAGAGAGAGAGAGAGATGTAGCTCTTAAACAGAATCTTTATCAATATAAAGCAATTAGACCAGGAGATACAAGCAAAGACATTAAGGTACATTTTGTTTAATTAGCTAATCTGTTTAGAACTTTTATCTGTAAATTGTTCCTCAATGCTTTGAAAACACCACAGGATGCCACGCTTATTGTCAGAGGAAAATAAGAGAGGATGGCATTGTGAAGAAGTCTGTGGTTTGGACCTGAAAATAATAGCTCTGAGATTAACTGCCAAATTACTATAATTAGATATCATTATAATAAATCATTTTCCAGGTTGATTATCATTCCAACAAAATTATTGTAATCACATGGGTGCAAATGAACTCACGTCTACATCTGTGTTGTGCACCTTTTTTTAGTCATTTGCATTGTACATGTAGTGTTAAACGGATAGTTCACTCAAAAATGACAATTCTGTCATTTTTTACTAACCTAAAGTCATTTCAGCCCTGTATGAGTTTTATTCTTCAGTGGAACAAACAGGGAGATGTTTGGAAGAATGTTCACACTGTTCTTTTCCATACAGTGAAAGTAGATGTGAACCAGAGGCTGTCCAGTATGGTGGACCAGTAGTGCACAACACAACAAAATCGCCAAAACACAACGCATAGGACTAATTTCGATGTGTTGTGGTAATTTCGCTGTCGCTTGTTTTTGTTGTGTTGTGCTAATTTCGTTGTTGCGGCTTTTTTTTGTTGTGTTGCTTAATTTTGTTGTGTTGCGACTTGTTTCCGTTGTGTTGTGCTAATTTCATTGCGTTGCGACTTTTTTCCGTTGTGTTGTGCTAATTTCATTGTGTTGTGACTTGTTTCCATTTTGTTGCAGCTCGTTTCCGTTGTTTTGTGCTAATTTCGCATAAAAAAAACACCATAGCAATAGTCTAAACTAAAGGACTTTCTTTTGGATTACAAATTCCATGTCTTCTGAAGGCATTTACTAAATTCCTTGCCTTGACAGCTGTGGTCACCATCCACTTTCACTATATGGGAAAAAAGCAGCTTGGATGTTCTGCTATAAACATCTTTTGTCTTCCACAGAAGAAAAAGAGACGTGGGATTCGGAAGGCATGAGGCATGTATAAAAGATGATGAATTTTTCATTTCTGGGTGCACTATTCTGCATATCCTTGCATATGCAAGATGTTTGACTTGTACGTACTGAAATGTGAGTGATCTCCACGTCTTGATATTCCAAATTGTCTGTGAAGTTGTCCACTACACCCATGACCTCTCTCGAGCAGAACTCCCTCCAGTGCACATGCTCTCCGTAAGATCACAGTGAAACACGTACACCATACCATAGCGCACGGAGGGACTGCTGAGATGTTTCTATGGCAACCTGCAGCTTGCTCCACTAATGAACTGGTTGCCATGGTGATGGGGATTGGCTGTGTGCAAAGTGAGAGACTGAATAACAGAGGGAGGAAGAAATTTCACACTTCTCTGTGCCACTGCATGTACACACACACACATACAAGAGGACAGTGCAGGAAACTGGCTGTTTCGGACTTAACCCCTCAACACAAACACGAACCAATCACAGCAGCTCCTCAAGGTCAGAGGAGGGGATTTCTTTCCAGCACTCCGCTGCAGGGCTGTCCCATTTTCACAGTTCCTGGAACAGCGCTGCTGTCCCTAAATCCAGCTCGAAGCGATCATGTCCCTTAGCCTGGAGCTTGTGCTCAAGCTTGTAGGCTGCAAGGGATTTTAGGCGATGTTGTAGCAGGAACCGAGCTGTCCTTTCCGAGTGGGGGGTGTCACTAATCACGTCGCAATTCCTAAGCGTCTATTGCGGTACCTGGGCAGGCTGTGGATTGTGGCTATTACTGCAGGCTAATTAATAAATTAGCATTGCCATTTAGCGCTACCAGGGTGACTAAAGACTCAAATTGGATGTTAATGAAGCTGATGGACAGTTGCCAATTCTGACCCACGCCAGATTATTACCCCGTAGTATTGGTAGGTTCAGGGTTAGGTGTGGGGGAGGGGTTAGGATTAGGGGCGGGGTTAGGATTAGGCAATCAGGTAGCAATTTCAACGAGGGGGGTAATAATTTGCCAGGGGGTCGAAAATGGGCACAACACAGGTCAGGGGTCTGCAAATCCGAAAGCGGTTATGTTTCACCTCAGTGAATCACAACGTCTCCCTCTAGTGCACATCGGACAGAACTGCATTTTTTTTTTGTCTCTTTAGGGTAAATAGGGATAAATAATCATTCATAGTAATAATAATTGTTTGGTAGTTATTAACTAATAAAATAAAATTAAGCATGTATATTTTATGTAAATAAATAATGTAAAATATATGAAAAATTAATTTTAATAAATATAATCAAAAATATAATACACACTACTGTTCAAATGTTTGGTGTCTTTTTTTTATTCAAAGAAACTATCATTTTTATATGCAGCAAAACTGTTAATAATACGTTTGAAAAATAATATAAAATGTTTCTTGAGCTGCAAATCAACATATTATATGATTTCTGAAGGATCATGTGACACTGAAGACTGGAGTAATGATGCTGAAACTTCAGCTTTGCCATCACAGTAATGAACTAGATTTTATAAAAGAGAAAAACAGAAAACAGTTATTTTAACTTGTAATAATGTTTCACAATATTGCTAGTTTTACTGTATGTATGATTAAATAAATGCAGCCTCGGTGAGCAGAAAACACTTCTTTCAAACTTCTTTCAAGAACATTAAAAAAATCTTACCAACCCCAAAGCTTTGAATATTAGTGTCTATAATATAAATAAAAAAATTAAAAGAAATAAATAAATATTATAAATATAAATATCTGAAATGTAATATTACAATATAATATTTGGTCACACATTATTTTATTTTAAATCCAATTCTCGCTATTAACAATCCATTAACTGACTTTTGCCTCAATAAACTCCTAATTTGCTGCTTATTAGTTGTTAAGTTTAGGTATTGGGTAGGATTAGGGATGTAGAATATGTGCTTTATTATTAGTACTAATAAACAGCCAATATGTTAATAATAAGCATGCTAATAAGCAACTAGTGAGAATAGTGAGAATTGTTCCCTATACTAAAGTGTTATAATATAATATTATATAATATAATATAATATATAATCGTTATGTTCATCTAACAGCCATTTTTTCTCTCTCTCTGTTTTTGTAGAAGTGTCTGAGGTTCAACCCTGATGCAACCGTATGGAAGGCAAAACAGCAGGTGCTGTGTAGTCTAACCGAATCTCTAAGGGATGTATTAAACTATGGCCTTTTCCAACCTGCTACTGATGGGCACGATGCCAAGTTCCTGGAGGAAGAGAGGCCGCTCCACGAATACCCACAATCCTTTGAGAAAGGAGTACCCTACCTGGAGGTATATTAGTACTAATAAACAGCCAATATGTTAATAATAAGCATGCTAATAAGCAACTAGTGAGAATAGTGAGAATTGTTCCCTATACTAAAGTGTTATAATATAATATTATATAATATAATATAATATATAATCGTTATGTTCATCTAACAGCCATTTTTTCTCTCTCTCTGTTTTTGTAGAAGTGTCTGAGGTTCAACCCTGATGCAACCGTATGGAAGGCAAAGCAGCAGGTGCTGTGTAGTCTAACCGAATCTCTAAGGGATGTATTAAACTATGGCCTTTTCCAACCTTTGGAGATTTGTCTTACAATGTAAAAAATTTAAATGTTTTTTTTATTATTTGTAGAGCACAAGGCAATTAATATTATACAACAATAATCAAATCAGTGTCTAATTAATTCACAAGAACCCCTTTATATCGGAAGTTGATAATAGGGGTTGGCGATATCACTTATTTTTGTATTATTTATATACTGTTAGTATTTATTATTATATTAATAAATTGATATTTAAATATTTTATTTGTATATTTTCTGATTTTTTTTTAGTAATTTTAATACTTCTCGCTTAAATATATTTGTTTCAGTTAGTTGCCATGTCAACATTTCTAACTGACATAGTTTTTTTGTTTAAGTGTTTGATCTAATATTAATATTTTATTTTATTTTGACTTTATTTAAATTACTTGTAACAATTTTTTAATAGTTCAATTTTTTTATATTTGGTAATTTAAAATAAATAATAAAACAAATGAAACTATTTGAATAGTTTTGGTTTTAGTGAACATTGATCAACACAACAATACTATGAATTGTGCCATAAACAGAAGTTAGTCCACCTAGAAAAGTAGTCCTGCCTCAGAGAACTTTACTAATCACAAAAACTTTTATTTTGAAAAATTCCTGTATGGGTTTTAAGAAAAGACCAAACATTTTTGCTTTTTAACTCTCCTTATCTTACATTAGCCCTCCTTACATTACTGTAAACATTTTTTCCCCTCCACAAACTGATGGAAGTTTCTTTGACAGCTCCCAGATAACTGTCTTCCACTGATTTTGGCTGTTTTTCTTTCACACAGTTCCGCTACAAAACCAGGGTGTACAAACAGACAAATCTAGATGAAAAACAGCTGGCCAAACTACACACAAAGGTATGCGTTGCCACAGAAATCATCTAATTCTTTTCTAAAAAAATAGAAGTATAAAGTGAACATTCAAGGTGTGCTACTTGCATCTTAGTCTGTATGTTAAAGAGTAATGAAACCCACTGTTTCAGCACTGGTTAGTTCTCACCACAGTTTTAAAAAAAACGCTAAAAAAGTGGGCATCGTGAGCTGCGGAGCGGAGGAGGGGGAAGAGGGGAGACAGACAACACAAACTGGTTTCAAACAGTTTCATTTCGCTCCCATTGAGTTAAAAACACAAATAAATGCACAGCCATTTGCACTCTGCATCGAAAACATATATATGAACGTGCTGTTGCACCTTTGATAACTTTTAAGGCTTATTCTGCGGCGTTTATATAAGCCTTTTGACGGGTTGTGTCACAGAGAAGTTGCCCTTGCTGGATCTGTTTTGTCCCATGTCTCAAGAATGACTGAGCTGTAAAAACGGTTACACTCACTAAGTGAATGAATCGCGTTTGTGCCGAACTCTTATTACAAAGCAAAAACAAACACTCTCCTTCGATCCATGAATGTTTCTCTCAGTTAATGTACGCGATCTCACAGTCTGAAGCGTCTGTCATAGCAAATCGACACATGCTGTTGTGAATAATTAAGCGAAGCGTCTTCTCATAGGATAAGAACACGCAGTCTCATGAATAATTTAATAGACACCGACGCATCATCGATGTACTATAAGGCTTGTTTGAGATGCGCCTCGCATCGCATGAAATGTAGGCGAGAGCAGGCGGCTGCAGTGAGGGGAGGAGTTAAATAAGTGCAGTCACAGTTCTGACCTCTCGAAGTGGAGCAGATACTAACGAGATCAAAGGCGGCATTATTCACACTAATGTGCTGTGCTGCTGATAAATATGATATAATTTCAGTTCTGTTGCTTTTATATGAAAATAAATATGATGAACAAGACACTCAAAGTGCTTGCTATTTAATTCCTTACGAAAGGCGTATTTATCATCCATTTTTACTTTAATACAAACATGTATTTTAGATTTTTATAGAAATATGACAACAATCACATATCTCACACAGTGATCGCATAGTGATTAGGAATATTCATGCATCATTTAAATATATAATCACATGAAATCAGATTAAAAAATAATTTTTTTTTATAAGAGAACGCAACATCACGTTGTCTGAACCAATGAGCATTAAGCTGTGTCGTCAGTCAGTCGTTTCCCATCATGCTTTTGGTCAGCGCAGTCGGTGGAGAGCAACTGCGTTCGACTGCACAATCCGACACAGCCGCCTCGCCGTCGCGAGAGTTTTTTGGCACACGTCAGCATGACATCAGAGCAAGTAGGCCGGAGCTCAAGACACTTTTCTAACCGGCATGCATCTCGCGGTGATCACCGGTGATCGGTTCTGCGCAGATTTTGCTCATCTCAAACAAGCCCAATCTCTCCCGGGTTTTCTGCAACCATGATGCGCGCGCATCCTGAATGTTTACAAA